ATGATTTAAAATTTTTCACAATTAAGAAGTAAATCTTTGCTTTTTCTTAAATGATCCATAGATCCGTATTATGAGGAAAACATGCCTTCAATCTTTTATAATAAAATGCCAAACCTCTCAAGGTAATTAATAGCAAGATAATACAGCAACATTAGTGGGTTTGGTCAATCCTACACTTATCTGTACAATCTACCTTTGCAGAAACAGCTATAGTTTTAACCAAATTAAATCTTTACTTTTGCCTATTCATTAACAGCTGTGCATCCACACATTGTAGCTGTTTGTTCAGTTATTACTGAAAGGGTTAATTGCTGCAGCTATGCAGCATGCAGACTTCTAAACCTAAACCAGATGTAAACTAAAGCTAGGCTTTCAGTCAATCTTTGAGTTATATTTTACTGTCCTTAAAACTCCAAACAAGGAGCTGTCTATGGAAGCCCTTTAAGACTCAGCAGTTCTTAGTGTAAGAAATTAGGGGCTCTTTCTGTATTTGTGGTTGGGTTCATCAGAGTTTGTCTTTTGATGAAGCCAGTATGGTTTTCTTTAGATAAAGTCTAAGTTTTCTTTTAAAGTCACAGGTTGCAGTTGTAAAGAATCCAGAAAGCACTGAGGAAGTTGTGAAAACAGCGGTTATGCTGTTATAAACTTTTCAAACAAGTAGGACACAGGCACATCACCTGTGGAAGTCTGAGTGCTCAGAACCTCGGAAAATTAAGGACATAATTTCAAAACTTCCTTAAAGGCTTAAAAGCAAAGAGTCTATCAAGTTTTAATTAAACTTATGCTCTCAAATACCTTAAAAATCCACCTGAATTCTATCAGACTTCTATAGATAAGTATGTGGTTTCAGAACTAGTTAACAAAAACAGCTTCATGAACCTCTTAAATACTCATCTAAGGTAATTAAAATTCTTCTTGCTTTCCTTTTGATCTTTTTTTTGCTAGATTGCTTGTTGGTTTTGTTGTTGAGTTGGAGGTTTTAGTTTGCTTGGTTGGTTTTATTTTTGGTTTAGTTTTTGTGTTTTGGGTGTGTTGAAACGAAAAAATCTTGCGGCTCATTATTATCCCGACCAAAGACAATGCAGTAAGACTGAGGAGCAGCTAATCATCTGGTCACACATTTTGTTCAAAATGACTTATTTTATTATTAGAAGAGATTTTTGCTTCCAAGAGTTAAAATTTAGCATTGAACAGAAGTAGCTGGAAAACATGCATTAAAAAGATAGTCTGAATGTTGAAAACATTTTTTTCTTCTTTTTTTAAAAAAGTGAAGTGACTATTTTTGGTAATGCAACTGCTTGCATTTTAGATCATTTATCAAATTCACTTATTGAAAACGTTAGTACAAAGCATGGAATGTTTAGCGGCTTTTCCTTTTCTGTATAGATGTCTCTTAGCTGATACTGGGTCTTGTGAAACTTTATGTACTTTAGTATATTGACCTAAAATAAGATTAAAAAAATAGAATAAGCAAGCTAACACAGTAGCTTGAAAAAAGTGCAATTAATAGTATTTTAACACAGAAATAGAGAATGAGATAAGATTCTTGAAATACTTGATACAACTGGAATTGCAATTTGTTTAAATCTCTAAACTGGTTTTGAACACAGATTTTCTCATCAATTTCCAGACCAGGAGCATTTGAGAGATCTATGCACATATGAGCAAAAAGCTACGAGTTTGAATTGCCCAAAATTTAGAAGGTTCTCCCATACTGATCTTTTCCATTGCTTATAGTTTGCTTATATGTTAAAATTGATTTAGAGGTTTGGAGAAAAGGTGTGTCTGCCCATGCTTGAATGGGCATGCTTCTGCTTAGGACTTGAGAGCTTTGGAAGGTATAAAATCAGTGCATGAGGACTGGGTATTTGGGACTACAGGATACTGAAACCTTCACCTTGCTGCAAAACAACACAGAGAAGTTTTTATCTTTCTTTATTCATGTTGGTGCAATTCCATCTTGTGAGATAAACTTCTAGCTAGTGCTTGGCTTTTGTGACTGCTTACATGACTCTCATTTGTGGTGCCTTAAATATCTTTCAATTCTTTCATTATGAGGAACTTTAAAATTTGCTTAAAGTAAATGAAATTTAGAAATATTCCAGCTTTTGTTTAAGTTTTTCAGTTGTATACACGTCCCAAGATGAGAGAATAAACTAAACCTGTGAGAATAGAAATGATATCAGAGCAAGTTTTGAGCCTGTTGTGAAAAATCAGATAAGCTTTTGTTTTAGATAAAACTTTTACAAAGTCGTCACAACACGTCCCTTTTACCACCTATTCCTTTGATATATGGGATGTTTAGGTGAGCTGTTTCATAGAGATGTGTTTGAATATGAAGCTGAGGTTAAAGACAAAATCAAATTTAGAAGGCTATGAGTATCCTCACATACTTTTTTTCCCATGAGTTACCTCCATGTTGCTTAGAAGTTATTAAATATTCTTCTGGCACAAACATTTATTCAGTATCTTATTTCTTCACTTGGACAAAAATACTGATAACTGTCTGGTATTTTGTATTACTTTCATATGATCAGCAGTTTCATTTCTTCAGTTACAGTGAGAAATAGTGATAGTTCATACAAGTAGAGAGGGTTTATATTCTGGTGACAAATTATAATGCATGATAAATTAGTGCTATATCCAACAGGTTGTGCAGGGAGACCACAATTCCAGTCTTAGTGATCTGGAGAACTGATAAATTCAAGATGAGCTTACAGGCCTGTTAATTCTTTAATGAAGAAAGCATCCGATGAACTAGTTTATTTTAAGCATCATAATACTGATATTAGTATGGTAATAATGACAGAATTTGTCAACTTTTAAAGTCTGAATGCTACATATGATATTTTACTCTATAACAAGAGAAAAGGATTTTTGTTTTCCTGTGTTTTCTTTTGTATTGTAATTATTTAGTGTTTGCAAGTCAGAAATAGGATCAAAAATGGACCTGAACTATTGTTCTTCTGAACATCACTAATTTTAGTCTTTTCATGGGTGGAAGGGAGGGTGGGCAGAAACAAACAAAAATAACTCCACCAAAAAGTGGAGAAACAAAGCTATCATTAACTGCACACCCTTTCCCACACCACACATATATACACAAACAAAGCAACTGTGGAAGAGCTTCTAGTATCTGAATGGTTAAAGAAGAGACAATTCATTCTGACAATATTACACTTTTTTTTTTCCCTGTAATAAGTTGAATATAAAATAGAGAATATGCCATATTTCTATATACATGTTGAAATGGGACTGCTTCAGGTTGTTGACATGGGTATAGACTATGATTTTTGGTGGGTATGAGTCTTCATTAGATATACACTTCTCTCAGATTGGCTGAGAGATCAGGAGTTCATCGTGAACTGCAGATGCTAGTTAAAGAGAGCATAATGCTGTACTGCTCTGAAAAGTATTTAATCCACATTCCGGGAAAAAGTATAAAATTTTGATTATATTAAATGTTATGGTAGGTTCTATAGCCTTTTTCAGATTTGTCACTTATTTCTGAGTAGGAGAAAGGCATGATAGAAATTCTATATTACCATTACAGAATGTCTTCATTTGTAGAATAGTACATAACTTCTCTTTCTACTTCTTGTCATATGTTGTAAGAAAATTCATGGTCATTTGGATCCCCTTCCCTGTTTCAGATGTGTTGACTAAAAAGTTTGTTTAAAATTTGTTTAAAAATCACAGTCTTGTAATTATGTAATTATACATTATATGACTGTATTCGTTGGGGGGATTAGGTTTACTCTTTTATTTTTGATATTGCTTCATAAACAGATTACCTGTCTAATTAGATATATTCATGTTTATTTTTGCCCTAAAATCTGCTGGTATTTCTTTCTATTTTGCTCTAAGCTTAAAAAAAAAAAAAGTTAAAAATTAAATTGTTATTGTCAATTAAAAAATTAAATTGTTATTAAAGTGGTTTTACTCCATTTGTGTGGAGTTACCATTTATTTGAGCCAGTCTGCTTTTCTATATATGTGCATTTTAAACATTATATAGTGCTTTCTGCTACTTCAAAATATTTTTTTAATGTCTAACCAGTTTTCTGTATTTAAAGACATACTAATAATTCCTTTTTACTTGAAGAAACCCTGGAGGGTAAACAAGGAAGATATGCATTTTAGATGTGTGCACTTTTATTGGAAATTTTGAGGCAGAATCAAGCAGGATTCATTTCCGTTGAATGATGGGAACTTATCGCAGCCCAAAGAGATTTCCCTTATAATGGAAATCAGAGCTTAACATTCACCTGAAGTCATAGTCTCAAATCTTCTGTTGTCCCAAGTTACATTAGCTTGGATAATTGGTGGAAGTATGATGGTACCCCCTTACAAATGAATAATCTGTGTCAGACCTGTTTTAGGTTCCAGCTTCTCTGTCCTGGTCTCTAGTGCAATAAGAACCAAGATGTGCTCCAAGGTCTTTCATAGAGTTCAAGCCATGAGAACTGTACTCTTATAATCTTTCACTTTAATCCTTTTGCACAATCCTTTTGAACAATGCAAGACACTTCTACTGCATCTGTTTTTTTATCAAGTATCAAGCCCCCATCTGGCTTTACTCACTAAATTAAGGTCATTCCTACTATTTGGTGCAGGTTTCTCATCTGATCTTTGATTCAGGCACTGCCACCTGGGGCCAGGTATATCAACACGGCATGGAATCTCAGTTTGCAATTTTGTTCCCATACAATTCTTCCCCCTAAATTTGTATTTCTCCTTCAAAATAATTCAAAACTCTTGTAAATTTTTGCTACCATTCATTTAAACTCACAGACTGGCCAAAAATTTTTTGTATATTTTGGTCAAAAGTATTTGACCAGGAACAAAACTGTTCCTGAACATATTATCATTGTGTTTGTACTTGAAGTAGTGTGTTTGAGGCACATATTCCAGCAGTTTCACTGGCTATGAATTAAAGTGTCTTTTATTACAGTATGCAATGATGTGTCATCCCGAACTAATCTGTTACTTGAATTTCAGCATGTGAGACAGAAGCAGCAAAAGTTTATCAGCTATCACTAGAGGAGCACCTCCAGCCTTTCAAAGACAACATGGAGCAATTCATTAGTCAAGGTAAATAATGAAACGTCACTTAACCTTTTCATGACATTTCAAAGGAAAGTTATGGGAACAATGTTTATACATTGTGGGAAAGGGACTGTTTATTTTGGCATCATAGAAAGATGTGGATTAGTTTAATCAGATGCCACACAGTTCTAAAAGATTTGCAAAATGATTCTCTTGTACTGTAGGTGACTCACTCTTTTTTGCATGACAGCAAAGACAGCAAAGACAAATGCTATTGGCTTGAGTGTGTGATCTTCTGATTAGTTCAACATTCCAGTAGAAAACAAATTTACAGCCTTTGTTCCTTGAAAAATTGTTGAAGCTGGATCTGTTTCATTAACTTCATTCCAAAGAGATAATTCTCTTGTGTGCTCCAAAAAACATGGAATAAGCATAACAAAAGTAGTTAAAAGTTTTCCAGAGATAAGGTAAATTCATATGAAATACTTGGATGTGATTAATGGAAAATACTGCAAGAGAAAATATATTAGAAATATCCATGATTGACTGGCAACCTGAGTACTAGAAGGAAAACACTTTAAAATTAAATGGACTCTGCTTTACTAGACCTTTCTTTGATAAGACTATAGGAGATATGATATATCAGAGCATCTCTTGAAATACTACTCTGAAAGAGTATACTCTGTATTGACCAATTTGCTTTTTAATACAAGTTAGAATTCAATGCACCAGGGTTAAAATTCCCTGATGAGTACATCAACATAATTTTAAAATTTTGTTGCTGCTTCTGCTTTGATACTGCATTTTATAATCAAAGATGGAACTATTGTCTTCTGAACAGGCAAATTATTTGATTTTGTACTGATTCAATGGACCTGTCACTAATTCATTAGCTAAGAGATATGTTAAAGAGCTACCATATATAGAACTCTTTACTAACTGAGTGTGCTTTAGGTTTGAGAGGCCAGTCAGATATGCATTTATTTCCTTCTGGGTCGGTTATCCAAAATGACCATCTATCCAAACATTTTAAGAAGTGGAGTACATACAGAATCATCAAGTGGCTTGGGTTAGAGGTGACTAGACCATGTTACTCATGTGTTCTACTATGTACTGAACCATGCTATAGGACTCTCAATTACAGTTAATAAATTGAGCAAACTCACCATTTTGAATCATCAACTGTGAATTGATGTTTCCTAAGACAAACATATACTAGCCAAATCTGGCAAAGAACCTGTTTTGTCCAGCAATAATAGGTACGAACTGATTTAAAACTGGATTCTGATTATGTACATGACATATTAATATTACAGTAGTGACATGATTAAACATGTACCAAGTGTTTTGTATTAAGTTTATATTATTGTTTTTATGTATACATAAGGAAAATTCAAATCACAAGTTTGTCTGAAAGAGATCACTAATGACATATTGTAAATCATGCCATATGTTTGCATATTAACCTTAATAACAGAGTAGGAAATCAAACATGGAACTGTTTATGGCCAGGTTAGATGGAGCTCTGAGCAACCTAGTCTAGTGAGAGATGTCCCTGTCCATGACAGAGATGTTGGAACAAGATGATCTTTAAGGTCCTTTCCAACCCAAACCATTCTATGATTATATTATTATATTTCAACAGACATCTGTCTGTTAAATTTCTGTTACTTCTTTTAGAAACTATACTTACAGAAATATCTGACTTTAGACTTTGGCTTACTTTCCAATTTCTAGCTACACCTTCCAGAACATAATTTTATATAATCAATATAGTGATCTGTTCTGTTTCTGCAAGGATATGCAATTGCTTTTCTTGATTATGTGTCTGTACTTTCGGAGAGTGAGTAAAATGACAATAAAAAGAGATAATTAATCTCATTCATTAAGAACTTTGCTGTGTTGCCATATTAACAGTGTATTGACAAAAGGAGAAACGCATAATGTCAGTAAAAATATCAGTGTCTAATTTTAATGAAAATAATTGGAAATATGTATTGTGAACACAGTGAACTGTGATTAAACAATTTCTAGATTTTTTTTTTAAACGGCAAGACCTATTGTGTGGAATTCTGTCCCAGTATAAGAAAGACAAAGGTTAACATATAGGAAAAAAGAATCCCTGGTTAAGTTCCAAAAATAAAGTAATTTAAATACCTTTCATTATGAAATCCTTTGTTTTTACTTCATGGGATTGAATTCAGACTTGAAAGAGGCCATGTTTAAAGCAGGATTTCTCTTTCCTGTTCAGTGTTTGACAGGCTTTTGATCTAGATATTTTTTCTAAGGGCTTTTGTTGTTTATGTAGACATAATCGATGAGTCTTTTCAGCTAGACTGCACACATGATCATTTAGAAAAACAGAGGGACAATTCTTGGCACCTTTTGGGGATTTTTGTTTATATAACATATGCTCTGGGCAAAGAAAAATCAAGCTTTAAGTTTTTATCTTTTCAAGTTCCAGTTTCTCTAAAGTCAGAAAGTTTTAACTTGTAATTCAGATGAAAAGCATTTTTCATAAGGTTGAATAATTTGGCATGTTTATATGATGCCTTTACAGAGTAGATAACTTGTGTGTATAATGGGACCCAAAAGTTCAAAGTAGCTAGTTATTTACAGCATATTCACTTATACTTGTTGCTAGCATCTAAAATGGAAAATGGTTTTCCCAGAGGCAAGAAAATTTGGACATCAAATGAAATATCCTCGGCAAGGGGTTAGAAAGGCTCTGCTTTATAAGAATAGTTATTGTCATGCACTGTTAGATAACTTTAAATTACATTACTGCAGTCTAGCTAATTGTTACTAGTGACATATTAATTAAAAAAATCTTTTTTAATGTTAACACATTATTATTCATCAGAGGCAAAAAAAGGTTATATATTGCTAGCTTACGTGTAAAGATGATTTCACTTGAAAGCTAAAGAAGGGAAAGAGGCAAGACTGTGTTCAGGATCATAACTTTTAAGATGAAAATGCTAGTAGTATATATGATGAAGGCTGTTCAGCATTTGCCTTGCCAGCCATGTCAGTAGGCTAAATAACTAGGATATCGTCAAAGTATGCAAATTAGTAACAGGATGCAAGTCATTTTTCTGATGGACTTCAGGGTTATTCTTAAAATGATCATTCTACTTAACAGAAAATTAAACTACTTGTCCTGTCCTCTGTACATTGGCATAGTGGGTATTTGTGATTTACAAGCATGACTTATCCTGTGGGTTGGATTTCTGAAGGTCTTGTGCCTCAAAGCCTCAAAGGCAATCCTCTCTGTTCTTCCACATTTTCTTTCCTCTTTTTGAGTCTCCATACTGCAAACCATCAATCATATAATGTGGTTCTCCTGTTCTTACAAATGTTAATTTTTTTTTTCTGAACTTCTCCATAACCACAGGGTTTAAAAAGGGAGGGGAAAAAAAAAAAGAAAAAAAAGAGCTTCTTCAAAAAAGCAGATTGGAGAAAACTTGTCAGAAAATACAAGACTTTTCAAAATTATACTGCTTATTTTTTAGTTTGTTATAACCATTTCTGTAAGGGTTTCCAATATGTGACTAACATATAATTGCAAAATTTAGTAAAACAACTCTACTTTTCCAATAAAAAATTATTCATATCAAACAGCAGGAATTTAAAATTTGCATGTCCCCAATATAGGGTATGTATTCACATTTTCTATCTTTCAGTTACTCCCCACAATTTATCACAATTTGAATAGGAGAGATTGAAAGGAGAACACTATTTGGGAACTTTGTCTCCATTGTGGATAGATAGGGATGCAAATACATGAGAGATCACATCCACCACTTTGGAAAGCTTCAGAAATCACTTGTTTTCCTGGAGGAAATGTGTCTGACACACAGGACAGTGAAGAAATGCTGAGGGGGCTAATCATCATGCAGTTTGTAGAGGAATTTCATTTAGCGGTTAGTAATCCTTTAACTTTGTCCCTACTTGATAGGATAGCCAGCTCATGTTGAAAGAATCATGCGTTCATCAACCACAAATGATTCGCAGTCCCCAGGTTTTAACTGTGGTTAATTTTGCAGTGAAAAGCAGTCTTTGTTTGTTGTTGGGACTCTGTCTAGGCTGTGCATTCTTGTCATCTTGATAAGCCAGGAAACTTATAACAGGAGGCAGCCACTTCCTCAGAATAGGAAGTCTTGTCTGGGAAGTGGACTTTAGACTTTAGAAAAAACATTATGCCGTAGGAAATGCAAGCATTGTTTACAGAAGCAAAATCAAAACTTTCTGATCTTGGGCTAGTTCATCTAAAAGCATTGGGAATAATTACAGTGTGATTGTAAGTTTGGGACCACAAGGTAACCATTCAACCTTTGGTTCCTTCTAGTCTTTATTTTGCAAAATTCTGGAGTTCTGCTATTGTGAGTGAATACTAGCCTCAGGTTTTGTTCTGCTGGACCCAAGAATACAGACTCTTCTCTAGAACTGTTTTCTAGTCACATCCTCATGATCTTGCAGAATAATGATGCTAAAACTGACCTTTTGGTTGAACTGTCTGTAACCATCTCTCTCCTTTGCCTGGAAGAACATTCAGGAACCCAGTTTCCAAACTGTTAGTAAATGAATGTATAAATCACAGTGTGTTGCATTTATCACTGCAGCTGTAACCAGATAGTTGACCGTGACTTGTTCTTTTAGGTCAAGCAGCAAAAGGCTGTGCATCATCAAATGATGGATTGTGAATGAGACTAAAGCACCAGACTGAATCTTGGATGGCTGGGTTAAGTTCCTGGCTCCAGAAGTATTGTAGATGATTGCGAAATGAGTGCTGCTAGGGTAATCTTAATTCTGGCATTTTCTACCCCAGAATGATTGATTTTGCAGATTCCATTTTCTTTAATGTTGCTTTTATAATTTGATTAATATAGGGGGGAACATAGCAGTACTGCATAATTTTTCTAAAAGTAAATTGAAGAAAATGTGACTGAAAGATGATTAGGAAGATATATGAATAAATGTTTTTGTTTTTCTTTGAAAAAAATGCACAGAACATTAAGAAGTTGGCTATTGGTAGATTTATGTAG